CCAGGTGTCTGGCCAGGGTGGTGGCCCTCGCCCCCAGCCCTGCTTCTGGGGGGCAGCAGCGCAGGGTGGTGGTTTGCAGCACTTTATCCCCACCTGCCCACACCTCTTATGGCCTTCCCAAGTACCCCCAGTTGACAACCCCTGCCTTAGGTTACCAACAGACATTGTATTTGTTCCAGGAAAAGTAATTTTATTTGCGGGCAAACTACAGTCAGATACAGACATTCTTTGCCAGGGCAACTCTCCAAAAAAACCATTCGGGATAAGAAGCAGTAACAGTTGCTAAAAGCAAGTGGATTAGATAATAGGGATAAGCACTTAACATCTAAAATGACTCTGGAGTTAAGCACTAGTCCAAGTTGCCTTTTTCAGTGGTGTCTCCTTTCCTCTTGTTCTTTTCCTTTCTGTTTAAAACAGTTTCTTTCTGAAAACTATTCACAGCATCTAGGGAAGTAGGCTATTGCCTATGAAAGTCCATGGCTTTCTGAACCAGTTAGTCTCTAAGCTCTCCTCCTTTCATTCATCGGCCAGCTTTTTGTAGACACCTTTAGTTTTCATTGGAAAATTAAATGCTTGATACCCAAAATATGATGGGTGAACATTTCAGTGAGTATACTTCTGCCAACAGATTAACATGATCTGTGATTGGGAAACCCAGTTTTTGGCCAACTTGAATCCATATCATTGTTATGGCAAACGCTAAGAAAGAGATGAGACAAAGGAAATATGTAGGTGTTACAACAGAATTGACATTCTCCTTATTAACATTTCTTTATCTTTGCAACAATCCACTTACAAAACTTTAATAATGTAACAGTATCTTGAATATTCATACTTTTGCCTGTGCGGTTAAAAAAAACCCAGCAATCGAAAGTGTGTTGTATAGGAAGGCTTAGAAGCTTACGGAACCTATTTTTTTTCTTATGTATTTGCATGTACAAAAGACAAATGATCTTTTTCAAAGGAAAGGATTTATTTAAATTGAAAAATTCCAAATGGACAATTTAGATACTATGAACACTTTAAGAATTGTTAAATTAAAGTCTGAAAGTTATTTTGTTCAGGTCTCGTCCTCACGCTTTAAACGAGTAACTCTTGGGCTGAATTCAAATATGGAAAATTTCAGTCTAAAAGAAGAATGTCTGAAAATGTATTGGCAACTCAAAACATTCAATGAAAGTCCTGACATAACCAGAACAGCAGTAGGACTGACCAAGTATCTCTTATAAATGTATGCATCTGTAGGTGTTGAGAACGATCTCCTAAAAAGTGTGAGACTATTGGGATCTCATGATAACAGGAGAGGAACCACTTTGGAGAAACTATAGTCTATCCACCTGGGAAGGAACCCATTAGTTTTATAGTTATGCAGTCTTGTAACCTTTTGTGTACTGAGAATTCATATGATCTCGTTACCTCAAAAGACTGTTGTATGAAAGTATTTTGTTTAACCTTGTAAATGTGTGCTTATTGTTTTTCTTAAGAAAAAGGGAATCTTGGTTCTTTTTGCATAAATGAGAGTATTTTTAGAGCCTTCTTTCCCTTTATTACTACCTCTTAGAACCTGATTTGACTAAACTTAAATTATGGTGTAGACGTCAAACTAACTTTAACAAACACCCATAGGGATTTTTTAAAATATATTTTAAAATGTATGTTTGCGGTGAACCATTTTTGAGAAACGATCTAGTCCAGTGGTTTTCAACCTTTTTTTTGTTTGCACACCCCTTTGAATGGTAAGTGTGGGTATTCACATACTTTTGATTGATATTAGTCATCTTTTGCACCCCCCTTAGACATAGGACCCCCTGAGGTCCATGGACCACAGGTTGAAAACCACTGATCTATTTCATGTTTCTTGCCAGATTTGCAAGACTGCCTCTTAGAAAATGACCACAAGTGCCTAAGTTGAAATGGGACAGTCTTGAAAATATGGACCTGATTTTTAAATATTTGAATTCTGGCCCTTAGTTTTCAATTTGATCACTTGAGTTGTGTTAGTATCACCATGACAGACCACTAACATGTGATGTTGCTAATAGCTCTTTGCAGAAAGAAGAAAGATGGAAAGTAATGCTGTTTTACTTGAATCTAAGTCTTCACCAATCAACCTGCTAAATGAAATGCATCAGCTGCGTCTTCTGGGCCACCTGTGTGATGTGACGGTTAGTGTGGAGTATCAAGGTGTCCGTGGAGAGTTTGTTGCTCACAAAGCTGTGCTAGCAGCAACAAGTAAGTTTTTCAAGGAGGTGTTTCTTAATGAGAAGAGCATGGATGGCCCAAGGACAAATGTGTTCTTGAATGAGGTCCAGGTAGCTGATTTTGCTTCCTTTCTCGAATTTGTTTATACTGCCAAGGTAGAAGTGGAAGAAGACCGAGTGCAACGGATGTTGGAAATAGCTGAAAAGCTAAAGTGCTTGGACCTCTCTGAAACCTGTTTTCAGCTGAAGAAACAAATGCTTGAATCAGTGTTGTTGGAGTTGCAAAATTTCTCTGAAACTCAGAACTCTGAGGAGGAGGGCGGTTCCCAGCCAACCATCTCCTATGAGTCCAAAGCAAATGTTGTAGCAGAAATTGACCATGCAAACTTTCTTCCTGATCCTCCAGAATCCCCAGCAGAAAGGCCCAGCAATGGAATGTCTCCTGAGCTGCCAGCTGTTAAATCGAAGGAGAAGGTAGACAAAAAAAAAGAAGCCATTAAGCCACCATATGCTAAAATCAGAAGGGCCAGTGGGAGGCTGGCTGGGAGAAAGGTGTTTGTGGAAATCCCTAAGAAGAAATACACGAGGCGACTGCGAGAGCAACAAACAAATGCGGAGGTCGCTGCAGAAGAGAACAAGTTCCCAAACGACCAAACCATGTTTGAAATGGAGAAAGAAGAGGAGCAAGTGGAGAACACGGTGAAGCCTGAAAATGAAGAGTGTGTTGGCAACTTTGAATCTGAAGAAAACCTTAACAAATCTGAAGAGGAGAAGAAGAAACGAGGTGACAACTTCAAATGCAGCACATGCAAGAAGGAGTTCTTATATGAGAAGAGCTTTCTCAAGCACATCAAGCACAGTCATGGCATTGCAGCTGAAATCATTTACCGGTGTGAAACCTGCAACCAGACCTTTGCCAACCGGTGCAATTTAAAAAGTCACCAACGCCACGTCCACAGCAGTGAGCGCCACTTCCCTTGTGAATTCTGCGGTAAGAAGTTCAAGAGGAAGAAGGACGTCAAGAGGCACATTCTTCAGGTTCATGAGGGTGGTGGGGAGCGTCATCAGTGCCAACAGTGTGGAAAGGGTTTGAGCTCCAAAACTGCCTTGAGGCTTCACGAAAGGACGCACACAGGCGACAAACCTTATGGGTGCACAGAGTGTGAGGCTAAATTTTCTCAGCCTTCTGCACTTAAAACACACATGAGGTATGAACAGACTTAATTGGCCTTGTTAGATTCGGGTGGAAAAGGCAAAATCCCCTGGAAAACATCTTGAGCCCTCAAGTAAAGAGGGGATTAACAAGGAGACTGACTGGGAAGTTTCAGTGTTCCCCTTTTCTTTTCTTTGTAGGTGGTTTTTCCTTTGTCTTTCCAGTGGAAGGGAATGCTGTCATTTTTCTTCAAGTCAAACTTGGGCTTCAGCTCCAATCCTGTCAGTGTGCAAGTGCCTGTGTAACTTTACTCATGTGAGGCATCCCATTGCAATCCATGGGACTTGTTCACAAGAGAAAAGCTACCCAAGTTCTGAAACTACTTGTAGGAATGGGGCCTTATTTGTTCTGCACTAATTTGAGCATCCCTAATATTAAGAGGAAAAATATTGTTCAGTAGGAACAGGAATCCTTTAAAAATGTAATGTCCCCAGTGATGTGTTGAACCCAATACTAAGGTGGTAAGTACCAAAATTCAGGAAGTGAAAATGACTAGTAACAGACCAGTCTGATGTTACTGTTCCAGCAAGGTGAGTGAAGCACAGAAAGTAAAGTGATGGCAGGAGTGGGGAGATCTGTGGTGCTAATATGGCTACAGCACTTTTCATCTTCAGACCTCACTGCCAGCACTGTACCAGAGTTACTGCTCTTCACACATGGGATCTTTGAAGTTCATGTGAGTTTCAGGTTTGGGAGGGCATAACTCGGCTCAATGAGGGCTTGATCTAGTGAGGTGCTGGGATTTACTTTTGCCAGTCCTGCAATGGATGTGCTTTGCTTTAAAGTGAGTGAGACGATTCATGCTTTAAGTTAAGCGCATGTGTAAGTGTTCTGTAGGCCAGGAGCCCAAGGCCTTGTAGGACTAACTCCTAACCAACCCTTGGAGTATCACTGTGAAGTAGGTAAACGTGAGGAACCTGAAATAAGGAAATGTATATTCCAAAGTGTCACTTTCAGAGCTGGAAGTAAAATTCAGTACTGTCATCATGTTCCTAGACCATTACTTCCTCTAAGGCATGCAGAATTTATTACATCTTGGTCTCTTAAAACAGGGTGCTTTTTAGCCTTATAGTCCCTTTGAAGTCAGTGAGCTTGCTCATGGTAGTAAGTACGCATTTGCAGAAGTGAACCTTAAAATGGTATCACCAACCCAGGTATGGAATTTTTTTCACTTAACAGTGTCTCTCTCTAAACCATAGTGACCAGTCTTTGGAAGTCATGCACTGGAGGGATTGAAGATGAAATTCCTCCCCTCTCATGCACCAGTATGAATATGCAGTAAGCTAGGTAGCTGTATTTTTTTTTAAGCGTTGTGAAGGTGTTCAGCATTGTCAGGTCATGCCTACCGAAATAGTCCCAAATAAATTGTATCTAATGTTTTCATATGTAATTTTACGTATAACTTGCCCCCAACATCATTGCGAAAACTGATCTGCTGTCATCTCTGTTCCTACAAAGCTATTCAAAAGGAGTCGCATAATTTAAGAGCGAAGCTTGTGTAGGCTAGAAATTAAAAGTAGAGACAACCAAAGTGAAGTTAGACCCTGATCCTGCAAGTTGCTCTATGTGGAAAAAGGACCCACTCCTTTTGTAGAGCTCATGCAGGATTGGGGCAGTAAGTAAGAAAATGACTGTAAAAGATGGCATCTTCTAATTTTATGTTCTTTGTGTCCTTGGTTTGATGTACAACCACTTCATATTGTCCCTCTAGCCCAACAAAGCCAAAATAGCCAGAGGAGAGGGAGTCAGGCTGTGTTTTGGCTTGTACGTCATTTATAGAAGGTTGTTAGCCAAGTTCTGGTATAGAACATTTTACTGATTATATCAGCCATACAGATGACTCATGGCCTTTCAAATCCCAGATGGAGTCAGAACAGTCAGTTGCATTTTTTGTTACGGTTATATATCCCCTTTTTTCCCTCTTTGCCCTGTTTGTAGAAGGTGGGTTTTCTTTTTCTGGGGTTTGTTTGTTTTTTAAGATTCCAAAAATTCCTGGTCCTTGTACAACCAGAGTTAGCATGATGCAACCAGAAACAGTACTGCCTTTGTGCAGATCACAGTACAGCATTGGGCCTTTAATCTAGGGCATCTTGGAGAAACAGACTCTAAAACCCCATGATGCCAAACGTTACGGTCAGTTTTCAGACGATAATCGTGAAGCCTTGCACTATACCTCCCTGCCCCGTCCCCCTCCCCCCAGAGGAGAGACATGTACCTTTTAGCTCAATGGCATTTTCTCATTTCAGAATCCATACTGGTGAAAAACCATTTGTCTGTGATGAGTGTGGTGCCAGATTCACACAGAATCACATGCTTATATATCATAAAAGATGTCACACGGGTAAGAGTTTCTTTTGTCCATGCGTAAAAGGAGGTCTGGTACAGAACTGCTTCTTCATTAGAAGCTAAATGTTTTTACTAGTATAATATGTCTTTCGCATTAAAGTAGAGGGGGGGTGGGGGGAGGGGGAACAGCACATCATTTTGTGAGCAGTTGTTTTTTGCCAAGCTAGTTGCTGTGCTTAGAGAAACATACAATAAAATAATTAATTGTTTAATTATGATTTTCCTTTGGGCAATTCTAAACATTAGACTCCAATGAAATAGCAGCTGTATAATAATGACTACCATCTGGATACTGAGCAGATACTGGTTCTTTCTGAAGTACAGATGTATTTTGATTACATGCCCTGTATCAGTTGCACTTTTCTTCCAAGCACCACCCTAACAACTCCAAATTTTTCTGCCCCATATGTGTACTCTTGCTTAAAACATCTGAAGAAAACTGTAGCCTCTTTTATAAAATTCTTAGACCAGTTATTAGAAATCTCTCTCTAAATATGTTTATTAATTTAAAAAGGAAACTCCAGTGCCTCTGAGTCAAACACATGACTTTGTCATCTGTTTACAACTGGCTCAATCATTAGGTTCATTACATGCTCCTGCAATCTGCCACTTGTCTCGCTGTGGATGTGGAGCTTCTGCCCATGTGCATGTCAGGCCATGGCTGAGTGTGAGTTGCCCCTTGAAGTGCTGGGGAGTTTCCCAGTGGTTTCAGTAGACTTTGGATAATTGACTTTCAAAAGGTTGCTTTGAAAATTCAATTAGTCCCATCAGCTATAAGGCTTTAGTTTAATTTTAAAAAGAAAATAATACACTCTTCTGGCCAAGATGCAGCAGTTAGCTTAAGAAACATTGCTGGCTCATTACAGTATGCAAACAAGATTACAAATAAATCCCCACCATTTTGTATGCCTCCAGTGTAAATTGAGTTGAATCATAACCAGGGATCCAGGTTTTCTGTTTCCTATGGGAAAACAGGAAAAACACAGATTTCCCCCTTTAGTTGAGGAAAACATGGATTTCTCATTTTAACAGCAAAACCTGTGGATTTTTCACTTTTGCAGAGAGCTCCCTGAAAGCTGGCAGGGTTCCAGCCTGCAGGGAGCTGTAAGGAGGGCAGTCAGGCTGGGGGGCACCATGTGCACATGGCTGCCAGGCAGCCTGGAGAGCAGCTCCTGTAAGTAAGGTGGCGGGGGGATTGAAGCCGAGGGAGGGAGGGGCAGGGCCCCGGCGGGGAGTGGGATGGGGCCATGGGCAGCTTGTCTAGGGGGTGGGGCCAGCTCCCCACCACTGCGCACACTCCCAGGAGGCAGGGGGTAACCCTTGCCTCCCAGATCTGTGTATGGGGTGAGCATGGGCTCCCTCTCCTGGCGCCTTCACAACCCAGTGGATGCGACCTGGTACTGCAGGGAATAGTAAGACTGCATAGGGAAGCTGTATGCCGCTGCAAGCTCTGCACTGCCCTGACAATGCATCCCCTGCCCACGTGGCAGCACTGAGATGCACAAGCCCAAGCTGCTGTGCCTGCTGCTGCCACATGTGCAGGGGGCGCCTTGCCAGGGCAGCGTGGAGCCCACAGCGCCAGCAAGCTTCCCCATGCAGCCATACTATTCCCTGCAGTGCCGGGTCGCATCCACCAGCCTGTAGAGGCCGCAGTGGGCAGCTCACCCCCATCGCATGCACAGATCTGGGGCCATGGGTCCCCTTTGCCCCCTGGGAGTGCCTGCAGTGGTGGGGAGCCACCCTCCCTCCCTCCGGCCAAGCCCACAGCAAGCAGGCAGCAGCGGGGGAGCAGGGCTCTGCTGCAGCAGCTGCTGCCTTGGACAGGAGACTGGATAGCTGGGGGCCCTATCTGGCAGGGCTGAAGCGCAGTGGGGACAGAGGGGCACCAGCATGGGGGGGGGTGTGGGGCCAGAGTGAAGGTCACCAGCAGGGCTGGAGGGGAATGAGGGGCCTTTTATTTCTATCATGTATTTTGGGGGTTTTATCATTTAAAAAAAAAAATTGCTAATTCTATCAAGGAAAACCAGGATCCTTAATCATAGCACCCTGAAATTGTTGCTTGTGAAGGTTTTGTTTTCCTTCTGCTTTCCTAATCGAAGTTTCTCAGGTCTCCCCATCTGCGGGGTCTCAGACACTTCTGCCTTAAACACACCCAAAAATGTCACTGAAGAGAGAACATGAAGATAAAGCAAATCCTTCATGAAGCAACTGTCGAAATCAGCTTCTTAATGGAAGTTACCTTCTAATATAAGTGATCAGGGGTATGAGCCAAGGCCCACTAAAGTAAAAGGAAAGTCCCTGCCAGCTGTTGACTTTGAGCTTTTGTTTACTTCATACACCTACGTTTTGGTGTCCTTAGGAGATTGCCTTGTATAGGTCCTCAGATGGGTGTATTCTGTACCTTTTATCCCGGGGAATTAAACCCATTGCAATAGCTGTGTGCTTATTTGTTTTGCTCAGGGTGTTTGCATGTGATGTCTTTACCAACATTTTATGTGCTTTTGTTTTCTCATTCACCACTTGATCCTTGTTGTAGGGGAAAGGCCTTTTATGTGTGAAACATGTGGAAAGAGCTTTGCCTCTAAGGAGTACTTGAAACATCATAACAGAATACATACTGGTTCCAAGCCGTTTAAATGTGAAGTTTGCTTCAGGACATTTGCACAGAGAAATTCACTTTACCAGCATATTAAAGTTCACACAGGTAGGAAAGATGCTTCTTTGAAAGGCAAAGTACTGTGACCTAACAGGCATAAATCTTAGATTTGCTTAACTTGGAGAGACTCTGCTGCTTTTGAGCCTAGTAATACCACCTCTATATGGAATTCTTAGCTGTTGACTGATGCAGCGATATTTCATTCACTCTGTTCTTCCTACCTAGCCCTCCAAAAGTGTCCGTTTCTTGCTGGTTAAATTGCAGCAGTACCTATGAAGTACTTCCCAGAGTTGTGCTGGTCTCATTAATGATGCTGAAGCTAAAATACTAATTCTCTGTATCTACTTTGCCACATTTGCATCGGCTCTTATATCTTCCAAACCCATTTTCTCCCTTGGCTGTCCTACTGTCTTTCCTTCTTTTTTGCTGTCACAGGAAATAAGGGGATGTTGTTCTGCTGAATGATATTTACATATACCAAAGCAGATTACAAAAGCAAATGGATGTGCTAAATCCTGGAGTTCCTGCTCATATAAATATTTATACTTGTAAATAAGACAATTAATTTAGGCCAGGAGTTTAGTTAATGTAAGATGGTCTGTTGACTCAAGAGTTGCATCAGTTTATGCCAGCTGAGGATTTAGCCCTTAAACTCTAGATACAATCTGTTGATTTTTGGCTCCAGCATAGAATTACACAAATATGATGTTCCTGAGAATGTATTTGAATGTTTAGTGAAGGTGCCTGTACTTGCCTAGTCAAACAGGTGGAGCATTTGGGCTTCTTAAGAGGCTGCAGCAAGAGCTGCTCAGACAAAGCGTCATTCTAAAGTTCCGCTCCAATTTCAGGTGAACGTCCCTATTGCTGCGATCAGTGTGGTAAGCAGTTCACACAGCTCAATGCGCTGCAGCGTCATCATCGAATACACACGGGGGAGAAACCCTTCATGTGCAACGCATGCGGGCGAACATTTACCGACAAATCCACCCTCCGGCGGCACACCTCAGTAAGGAGATATGTTGTCCTCACAGTTCTGGTTTCGAACACTTGTGTGTGCAGGGCATCAATTCCAGGAAAGGGGTCCCATCTCCTTTCTGCTGGTTCTGACCATTGGGAGCCCTTTCCCTGTTACATTGGTATTAAAATACCTCAAAACATTTCCTTGTCTAGTTTAGATTCAGAGCTGTGCTAGATTTACAGACAAATTAATTTCACTGTGGACAGCAGTTCATGTAGGTAATAACAGGAGAGAGGTTTATTTCTAACTTGCCCTGTGACCTGGAGACCTCCATTTCCCTCACTGAGCCAGATGTTTGGCTTGTCCAAGTTTATACTTGATAAATGGGGGGAAGAGAGCCCAATCAAGGAGCTGATTAGGGTGCTCCAATGATCTTCCTGGCCCTGGTACAGCTACAGCAGCTTTGGGCTTAGTTGGTACCAGCACTGGCTTCCTCTTGAGTATGCACTGGCATACTCTTGGGCTGGATCCTGCTATAGAAGTCAACACTGGTTACTGCATTGCCTCATGATAGCCAGGAGGCTATAGCAAGTCACTTCTCCTTTTGCACTGCTGAAGCATAAACTGTGTGCAATTGTTTGAGAATAAGTTTGAGATCCTTGGCTCAGAGGTGATCTAGACAAAAACATTATAGTCATTTCAGACACCTAGTGATGACACTGCTTTGTGTATTGTTTCTAGATACATGATAAAAATACACCTTGGAAGTCTTTCCTGGTTATTGTTGAAGGAGCATCTAAGAACAACGAAGGGCACAAGGCAGAACTTCCTGATGCAGAGTATGACGTGTCACCCAAAATCACAGAGAAGCTGCTCTCTATTGCTGAAAATGGCCACTACCAGAACTTGACTATCGTCCCAGGGAGTGTGACCACACTGCATGACAATGGCTGTACCATGGGGACAGACTGTAAGTCTGATGGGACAGTGGGACCCCAAGAAGCCCTCATAGCTACCACTTTAAATGAGCTTACAGTGCTGCATACACAGACTGACTCTATTCAGCCACAGCTCCATGCTCTGGTAAACATGGAATAAGTTGGTATTGTTCACATATCCAACCTGGACTATAATTCTTTCATACCCTTTGACTCTGCCAATAACCCATGGATAGAATTAGGTCAGGCTAATTCTCCTCATTAGGAGGAGGGACTGGCTGTGAATGGCATCCCCATGATTTCTTGAATTTCAGATCTCCTTTGTGACTATGAAGTGGTCATTATTTCCAATTTGCGTAGTCTGGCTGTAGCTCCTTTTCCCAAAGAATAGGGTAGAATAGTAACTACCAGTTGGAGGAGCAGGGGAGGGGGCAGTTCCCTGTCCCCATCACATTAGTATGGCAGTCTTGAAATTCACTGGTCTCTGATGTCATGGCAATGTTCATTTATTCTATCCGTTTAATCTCTGGAAGTGTATCCATCCAAGATCTTTTACTTATCCTTTTCTGCAAAGGTATGTTGAACCCGTTCACCCCTTGGTATGGATATGCTAGGAGCAGTTCCTTAGGAAAGAGAGAGGGCATAGGTTTGATTCGGCTTCCCACCAGCTTGATTCCACAATGTGGGTAAATGACGCTTTCACATCTCTGGGCCTGATAGCTAATGGAATTCGGTTAATTTTCTCTGGAAATAGGTCTCACTTAAAATGGTTAAAACCACTTCCTGAAATTAATTTTCCTCTCTGCCTTTTTCCAAAGATTGGAGCAGTAGGAGCAAGTCTGGAAAAGCAGAGTTGCATTCCAAGGGGTCTCATTTTGCAATAGCAAAAAATGTGGAAACTTCAGGCTGTAGGATTTGGTGTTACAAAATGGATTGCAATGTCTTGAAATAGCTTGTGGCCTTCTATTTCTGACCTCCAGTAATATGTGTCAGAGCTTTTGATCCAACAGGTTTAATCCAGCAGGCTTAATATTTTTGGCCTATTAATTGCTCTAACATAAAAGCTTTACTCCTTCAGAACTTGAAGCTTTTGCATAAGAGACTAAACTCCTTTCAGCAAAACTACCTCATGGAAGGCTCTCAGGGCTGCTCTGTGTTTGTTTTGCTATAGGAGCTGTACAAAGCCTAGTAGAGGCACTGGCTGTAGCAGCAAAAATCTTCTTGTTGATTAGACCACTCTGCCACCTCCGAAAGAGCTCTTGTCACTAAGTTAATGTCTGCCCAGGGGGTTGCTGTCATAGCCATCAGTGATGGGTGTGTTTTCTCTTCTCCCTTAGGTGTCCTACTACAACTTTGTAGTATAGATCAGGCCTTAAATTACAGGATTAAGATTTAAAGCCGCTGCAGGGGCTGGAAGAAAAAAAAAAAAAGATAAATGATGTAATTCTCAAACTCGTACACCTTCATCTTACAATTGGATCTGATACAGTAGACCTCCACTGACTTAATAGGGCTTCATACAAGGGCAGGGAAAGATCCATTTGCAAGAGGTGTCTGTGCATGGTATGTGGAAAACAGTGGGCATGTCTACATGTGTGCTGGACTGTACTGTCACATTTAGTACTTAAGTATTAAATGACTCCACAGTCCCAATGCCACATGGGTCACTACCAAAGCTACTGTGCAGTAGCATCAGGAGTCACGGTTCATGCCCACCAACACTACAGTGACTTACTGTCTTGTGTAGAGGTGCCCAGTGAGGCTCAGGAGTAAGAATATAGGCAAGGGTCCTCATTGCAGTGTCTGAAAGATTTAGAAAACTTGTGAACAGGCATCTCCATGATGACTTCAGTGAAGCTTTTCTATAATTCAGTGTTAGAAATAGTGCAGGTTTGGGCTGGTGCCTGAAAAACAAGACTGTGAAACTAACAGCTGAGGCAAGTGCCAAAAATCACATTAATGATGACTGCATGTCCATGCATTTTCCTCCTTAAAGGGGGTAGAGAGTATGTGCAGTGGAAACGTATAATGGGTTTATCTTGACAATGTGCCTTTTTACATAAAAGAAGGTGATTAAGAGTTAGATGGTTTTAAAGGTATTTAGACCTCTTCAGTGACAGGTGGGGGTTCTAAAACCTTTAGAAATCTGGGCTCAAGTGTTTGCTCTGAAGCTTCTTATCCCAAGAATAATCCTTATGTGAATCTCAGTTAAGTTAACGCCATTTCTCAGAACTGGGAATTACAGGGAACATGCAGGCCCATTCCTTAAAACAGCCCTTTCTCCATTCTTCTCTCGAGAAAAGAAACCCAATGCACACTGCCTGGTCATTATTAGTAGTAGGTAGTCATGGTTTTTACTCCTTGTTTTGCAATGAGAAGAATAATATTGTATAGATGGCAAAGGGGACACAACAGGGATATTTCTGAAGAACCATTTCTTCCAGCCTAAGCACTTTCTAAGTAAGCTGAAAATTAAGGTTTGTGTTCTCCCTACATGGATTGGCTTGTTATTTTTTGTTACAAAACACAAATGGAATTTTGATATGGAATTACTATGATCAACTGAGCAGAGGTAGTTAAGACTTGAGAGAGAGTGGAGCAGGATTAGCCCAGAGTACTCGGCTACAGTTACCAGCATCATCTTGGGTTATTTTTAGAACCTAGGACTACCTGGAAGAGAGCTCTGTGCTAGGAAACACTGTGGGAATATTACAAAGCAGTTAATATCAGTACAGCTTGTGCTTTTAGTAAGCATCTGTGAAATTAATCGAGAACAATTCCACATCGCCCTTGTTTAGGTTACTTGTTCCAGTTCAGGGCCAAACCCACACAACTCTACCAGTTTACACTAGCTGAAAATCTGCCCTTTTGTGTTGCAACTCAGTTTTTTTGTGTGTGAATTGTTTCTCTTACTTATATTAAAACTTTAGTATTTTCACAGTAACCTCATTGGCTGAAGCTTTTTCTTTTAAGAACCAACTTGAGAAAAGCTTGCAGTAATACCTTAAGTAGGCCAGGAACAGAATCCCTCCATCTCCTTAGGACCCACACTAGTATACAAAGTGCCACAAGTCACTGAATTGTGGAACAGACTTATTTTTGCATCTTAAAATATTCCTGATGTTACTATAGGAAGAGGGACTTGAGGAAAAGATCTCCAAGAGGTTATATTTGAAATATTTATTCATATGTTCCTTTTGATGTTCATGATTCCTAATGATCAGTGTAAGATGGTTGTAGATATATTTAAATTCTCAGCATTAGCACTTGTAGACAGGGAAGCTTTTGTATTCTGAATATATGGAAATGAGTTACCTGTATAAGCTGTTCTTATTAAACTATTATTGCCCTTTCCATAAATGACTTGCTGTCAGTACCAGACTCTTCTGTTCAGGCTAACATACATGTTAAATGCAATGAACTTTTTTAGATGTTTAGAAGATAGGCTTATGAGATCTTTCATAGCAAAACTAGCACCTCCTCATACGCCAAACTTAAATAGTGTCAATGAAATGACAAATGAATCAGAACCTCTGTAAGTATTAACTGAAATCACAGCAGATAACGTGCAAGACTAGACGTGAGCAAAAATACAATACGCCACAATGTCTTCCTAGTTAGATCAGGATGCCAGGGCCACAAGATCCTTTGAAGGGTGTTACAAGAAGGAGGAGGAGATAAGGGCATACTCAGGCTCTCCCAGCTCTCAACACTTAAAGCATCATTTAAGCCACTCATTCTACCAGAGGACAAAACTCAAAGTCCCCCACATTTGCAGTTCCTTGTGCTAATGCAAGCCATTGTGCATCACTGTACGGAGTGCCAGTGACGTTCAGTATAGTTTGCATGTGATAGCTGAGGAACCACATACAGAATTTGAAACCTGTTGCCTAACCAAAACGTGGATTTCAGGATTTTTTTTAAATGCTAAAATAGAGAGTGTAGCTTTAGCAGTTGCCTGTAAAGCACATGCTTCTCAATGGAGCTGTTCAACAGGAAAGAATGCTCAGCGCTACTATTCATAGTTTCACTTTATTACTGTACAGATTCACACACGTTCTGTTCTTGCTAAGACCGTTTCATTATTGATTAATACAGATGCTTGACCTAAAAAAGAAAAACAGAAAAAGAACACACCAGCCTGGCAGCTTGGCTCCAGTTTGTTGTTTTAAAACAGCTGTATCACAAATTTACAACATGGATTACATTGGGTAACATGCTGGAGTCCATTACACAAACGAAGGTTCGCAGTCAGACAGTACAATTTGAGAGCACATTGATAAGATTATACAACCTAGTGCATCTGCTGTTTCAGTACACTCAGTGATGTATCTTGTCACAACTGTGCAAAAATACTGGTTCTAGGTCCTGGAAGGGAAAAAAACCACTAAACCAACAAAAGGTAAAGTAAACAAAATGACATTTAAAAAAAACCCAGAACAGCAACTCTGTATAACATCTACATTCCCTAGCTAGTCAGAATCTAATATCCATGCAAAATTTCATTTAAATCACAAAATTGTGGGCATGACAAAAGCCATCACTTCACATAATCAAAAATATCTTTCCTTATAAATTCTCAAGTTTAGAACAAGTACAGGCATTAAATTTCTACAAAAACAGCTTGCTCTCATTCTAGGCTAGTGATTTTAAACCAAAGGCTATGTTTCTGTGCAAAGAAGAGCTATGTGCATCCTCCTTGAATTATCTGTGCTAGAGGGGGAGGTTTCAATTAGTAAGACAAGAACAAAACAAAAAAGGTTTTTTTGCCACCTATGTAATAGAGTTCCTTCAAGAGACCCTCCTGTTTTGCCCATTTACTATGGAAAAGCCATATAGTGATGTGCAACATGCATTTTACAATAGCATCACATGAAGACAACAGCTATCAGGAGCTTGCACATGAGCAGTAACTGCACAAGGAAATATGCCAACGGGCTAACATCTACTTTTATCGCTGCATCTGATTCGTTACACTTCCCTTGTCCCTAGCACACACTGTGGCTGACAGTTACTGCAAATGGCAGCCTGTGCTCCTAGCATGACCAGACAGAGAAGCTCTATCTCATTCTAAAAAATGAGACACTTCAGCAGAATCCCAGGAACTGCTTTGTGCTATGAACATCCTGAGCTAGGTTCTTCTCTGTGCCTTTGTGTAAGGAACGTAGGAGTGCACTTTTCCCTCCAAAGAAATGGTTTTCCTAAGGGGACAGTAGGAGGGAAAAAAAAAAAAAAAATCAGTATACAAATGCTTATGTGGGTGGCTGTCTTCCCCCTCCAGGTCAATCATATGGCACATCTACAAATCAACCTTTCATTAACAAGCAAGTTTAACAGAAAGTGACAGGTTCAAAAATGATTCTAGATGGTAGGAAGCAAGAGGTCTAGTCCAACTGAACCAAACTAAGATGAGTAACCTGCATGCAACTGAAGGGGCTTCAATGCCAATGAGAGAGCCAAGTCCAGTTCTGACTAAGTGCTGATACAGGGGTAAAGGGAAGAATCTGTTCTCCCTGGCTAACTTGAGACAGCAGAGGAAGAGTACAGGCTGACTCCAGCATTGTTTAAGGAAATTTTCTATTGCAAGAGGGATGGGAGAATCATCCATCTTCCTCCTAAATAAATCAATGGCATGTCTGTGTTTAAAGAAAAGCCTAATTTGTTCCACAGCAGCTTCCCCTGTCCTGCTGTCCATATACACAGTGGCTCAAGCAGCTGCCCTGTATAAGTCTCAAGCCATCCCTGCAGCGGCCAACTACTGTAAACAAAAGCTGGTTTTGCATGTTACACAGCTTTTTCAACACCTCTAACATGAGCCAAGTTGCTTCTTCCTTTCTCCTGTTTCTTCATTGTGTATCTACATCCTGTTCAGCTGGCAAGTAGGAAAAGTTGTAAATTCTACTAGGAGCAGAAAGAGATCTTGTCCAAACTGAGTAAATTGTGTCATCTCAGTCAAAGTGCAGAGTAAGCTGCACTTTGCACAACACAGAGCTAAAAGGGCAGAACAGAAGCCCTTCCCGGGTTGAGTTAGATATGTAAAAAATACATAAGTGAAAGGGGATGCAAATTAAAAGCCCTGGAGATGGATTATTAAAACATTCTTGTGTTTTTTCTTTCCTGGAATTCTTCATTTGGTCTCAAGGAATTTTTCTGTAAACAAATGATAGTTCTGCAGTGTCTCCAGGTTCTTAGAACATGCCGTTTAAGTTACTCCAAGCAACACAGTCATTCAGACCCATTTTGTCTTGGAAAATTGGCAGCCCAGACAACACAGAAAAATGAAAGCCAGCAGCTCCCCTGTTAGGAACGTGATAGGTCCATGCATACCTGCAGCATTCCTTCTTCCACAAACACAAGATCCAACTTGGGCCAATCCTGGTAGCAATATAACTGTCAGCTGTGGGATACTAGTGTTTTCCTACTTTATGACGATGGACAGTTTAAAAGGTCAAGTGACTCAAGTGGCATTTACGCAAGTACAGCTAGTAGCCTTTGCTTGTGTATGCAACATTGATGATATACAAAATCATTTCCACAGCTTACTCTTACAGCAGAGAAATAGGCCACATCACACTAAGAAACTGTATATGGTCACACTTTCATTTATATTAAATATAGGTTGCTTGTCTAATTAGCTGCACTGAAACCAAGGCTTGCCCAAAGGAAAACAGAGTGCACGCATTTAAAAAAAAAAAAAATCACTTTAGTGTTTTCTTCATTTCAGCGTAATGTGAAAGCAAAGCCTGATCAAGCTATGGTCCAGCCATGCTAAGGAGGGTCCTCTCATCTAGTATTGTGTCTAATGCAGTGGATTTCACACACCACAACACTGAGATAGCTCAGCCAACAGCACAATAGTGAAACATGTGTCCTGGCACACACATGAAAAACACCTGCAGTAAAGATGATAGCAAGAGCTCATGTAAATGAAAAGTTAGAAAAATATATTATTACTTGGGTAAAGTCATCTCAGGGTAGGAGGGATGGGATGCACCACAAAATAAAGTGGAAAAATCTCTTCAAGAAAAAATAGAAGAAACTTACATTTTATATATAGTTCTTAAATATAAAATACATGATTGGCTAGGTCCTATTTAGTAAGTTTGTGGAGGGGTAATAAGCTATTAGAAGTGGTCATCCCTCCCCTCTGAAGAATGATCAGGGTTTCAGACCTATGTCATTATGTATTCTGTATTTATACATGCACACATGTATCTGTAGAGTACATACACACATGCATACTGTATATAAAAGGTCACAAGCTTTTCACTAGCACCATCAAAATAGCTTTACCATTTTAAAAACAAAATTCTAAACATATCTGAGTGAAGTCCATTAAAAACATAAAACATTAACAGCAGCATTAATTCAGAAACTTGCGTGTACTGCATGTCATGAGAAGAACAAATACTTACACACCTGGATCAAAAGAGCCTGGAGATCACAAACTTGTAGAGTAATGGCAGAAGAGATTTAAAATGTAGACTTGGCTCATCAGCTAGCAAAAATAAAGATTTCTGCCATAAGTGTTTCTTTCATCCATCTAAGAGTTTCACAAACCTTTATTGATTTCACAGTGGAAGGATCCATCAGCAACACCTAAAGTATCATTTCTTTCCCCATCCATGTCATCCAAACAGACAGCAGGATACTAACACCACACAAGTCATTGGTTCATAAGCGACAAAGTTAAGCTAGACATAGTATCAAGTATCCCTTAATGGTCCCTGGCCGTAACACAAACACAGATTTAAGAGTTAGGCTGCATGCCACAAAATATCACAGACAAGTCACTTCAAGTCTCCTTCCCCTTCGCCTTGAATGGACTTTTTGATGCGGAGCAACATGGTGGTTAGCCACTGGTCCAAGCGAGAAATGGAGTCAAATTCCTTGACCTGATGGAAGGAAGTTTAATGCTGGTTATTAGAAAGCAAACCGCAATGCTAACAACAAATTGGTACACTGCATTTAATTAACTTAAAAAAATCTGGCTCTTAAAGTTTACATATAATTTGGTAAGAGAGTCACTTGACTGGGATGGTTTGGTCAGGGCTGATCCTGCCCTGAGCAGGCGCCTGGACTAGATTACTTCCTGAGGTCCCTTTCAGCCCAACTTTTCTGATTCTATTTCCTTAAGCCAGTGATTCTCAACCAGGGTTACTAAATCCTTTGAAGGATGCCCCCAAAAGTGTAAGGAGATAAGCAAATAAGTATAGGCTCAAGCTCAGTCCTTGCCTAGCCAATCCCCTACTCCCACTGCAAAGCCCCTTCTGCTAGGAGATAGAGCATTGTAATGTTAGTTGGGGTTTTTTATTGGGGGGGGGGGGGGAAGG